GTCGTCCGTCTTGACTTCTAGTAGAGCCGTCATAGATCCACAGTGAGGTGCTAGAAAGTCTGGAGTTGGCAGAATCCACTTGGGGATTTTGTTTGCTGGGTACTGTCTCTCCAGTCTGTCCACCAACAGATCATGGAATCCCGGTTGGATGTTGTCGAACTGAACCCAAAAATTCTCTTTCATCAATGTCTGTTTGTAGGAAACCGCGAAGGTTGGATTTTGCCTCTGAGCAGTCAGTTTTTTCCATTTGGTTATCATACAGATCGATCCATTACAGTTCCTGGACTGCATTTCTGCTGCGATCCGTGCGTGGTCTTCATTGTTGAAGAGCACCATGATGTTGTTACGACCCAAAATCTGCAGAGAAAAGGCCTCCCCAACGTGTTTGAGTTTAGCCTCCTTTTTTATTGTTTCTATAATCCATTTTCTCTTCTCTGCTGGCATGAGATCTGCTCCATTGTGGGAGAAGTTGAAAACCACTCCATGCCTTTCATGAAGATCATCCAGTTCCGGTATTTTCCCATCCGGATACTTCCATACAATCACTTCTTCTTCTTTCCCTTCTGTTTTTTGCTTTTCTGGGGGGGAATCGTCTGTACCGCAAGGCCGTCGACCAGGTTTTTTATTTTTTTTTATTTTTTTATTTCGTTACTCTATGTGACTATGTGAGGGGCGTGCTGTCAGATGGGGTGCAGAATAAGATAGTAGATAGAATGTCGTTAGAGAGGGAAAGCACTAGATAGATATGGGGGAGACGTAGGGAAAGGGGAGAGGTTAAGTCAGATAGGGTATGGAAGAAGATAGAAGGTAGAAACTCGTGTGTGAAGAAGGGCAGTAGGAAGGCCAATAGAAGGTTAGAATCCTTTTCGATTTGTCTCACTTGACAGACGAAGCCAGCTTGTCTTCCCTTGGCCGCTATTGCAGTTTCTTTCACCCTTACTACTCGTAGCCCCCGACGTCGTTGAAAAAACCACCCTTGTCGAGAACCGCCCTTATTGCATCTGTCGCGCCCGTCCTTCGACAAAAGAAGGGCGTACTTTTTCGAAGTTTGTCCAAGTTTATCGTTCCTCCTCGTTCCTCTTCGGTGAGATTCCCAAAACTCCAAAGCCCGAAGTTTGCTTTCCTTTTTAGGGTCTCTTTTTAGGGTCTCTCCCCTTTCTGCGTAGTTGTCCCGAAGTCTTTCTTTTTTGCTTACTCTCTTACTTCCTCCATCGCCTTCCTCATAGAGGAATCCAGATTCTGTGGGCGCTATCCCACCGTTCCCAACGAGCGGCTGGATAGCATCCCCCTACTGTTCCTCTTCGTTATTCTCCAGAGGATTGTTTGTCGTTTTCTGCCTTGTCGTCCTTGCAGGTCTTTGTTTTGTTGCCTTTGTCTCTCCCTCCTTAGCTCCCTTTCGCTCCCGAAGTCGTGAATATTTCGCTCCCGAAGTCGTGAATATCTTTCTCTCTGGGATCAGGCAGATTCTAACCGTGGAGGCGGCTAGATTCGGACCGAATCTAGCTTTCGCCCTGAAATACAGCTACAGGGATCGGGCAGATTCTGACCGTGGAGGCGGCTGACATACGTGGCTAGCACATGTAGGTAGCAGCCGTAGAGTAGACTATAGACTATATCACAGCCATATCCTAACCAGGCATATCCAGCCGTATATTTGATGTAATGGACGGCTGGATAGCAACTTCAAAGCGATCTTCAGATGCAGCTAATCTACACCCACCTATGCGCTAGTCAGCGCAACAGACCACGTGGCACAGCTCCCCGAGCACGTGCGTAGGCAGCTGGGCGTACCGCTCGTGGCGTTGCCCCGCGCGGCGGCGCGGCATGAAAATTAGCGCTGCGATGCGCTGCGTTAGCGCTGTCTCTTATACACATCTAGATGTGTATAAGAGACCCACGTGGCACAGCTCCCCGCGCACGTGCGTAGGCAGCTGGGCGTACCGCTCGTGGCGTTGCCCCGCGCGGCGGCGCGGCATGAAAATTAGCGCTGCGATGCGCTGCGTTAGCGCTTACCCTTACCGGTGGCGCGAGCGCGTTCCCAAGTACCAGATTTTCACTATCATTTATTTGCAAAACTTGAAAAAAGTGTTTTCCAAAGTTTTCAACACTTCAAAAGTCCAAACCAACGGGCCTAGCTCAGTTGGTACACCCATGAACTGTCGAAATAAAGACCCAAGTTCAAATCCAGATACAATCAGATTACCAGAGCAAAATCATTCTGAATCACTGTATTGTAGGCGGGCATATTCACTCATCTCATAATCGTGATCAGTAGTGTTTAGGCTGTGGAACTGTGAGAGTTGCCTGATTGCCCGTGCCGTGCGGTGGACGGGGGGAGGGAGGGGAAGAGCTGGAGCCGAAGAGCGAAAGAGAGGGAGACGGAACGAGCTGAGCAGGGGGAAGGGGGGCGCGTTAGTGAACGAGAGATGCCCCCTTGCCAGGTCTTTCATGTAGTGTCCTCTTTGTAAAAAAAGGGGGTAGTTCCTACAGTTGTTATTATATTTGACCTGATGTTATTGGGAATCTGGGGAAGTTCTGGGCGGTTTACTAAGAGTTGCATGTGTAATATTGTGTATGGCATTCGGCCACATGAGAAGAGGTATCTTGGCACCGAGCTTGATCGAGGCTGTATTCCAATTTTGCTGCCATTTGAACAAACATTACGCTAGTAGGAATCTGCTTCGTCAGCGGGTGCAAAGATCATCACATTTTTATGGGCCCTGTTGGGTGCGATTTGTGCTACAGTGTGCTTCATTGAACAGTAATGAACACTACTATTGTTGCAGTTTTGTTGACTCGTTGAAAGTTCTTGGCAAGCTTTTCCCTGAGATTTTCCCGTTTGACATGGATCTGGTTCGGCATGATCAGAAAGGTGGACAGCGATTTCGTTAAAATGGACATATTATTGCTTTTTTGAATGAAATTGAAAGCTCATTTTTTTTGGCCCAAAATTCATGAAGCTGAGGGTACGGCGTTCTGAAAATGCCCTACCCCCTCAATCGATCTGGACTTCGCTGAAGTCCACATGCATCCAAGAGGCGGGTGCAGGGAGAGGAAGGAGAAGAAGATCGTGCAGGGGGGGAGGTGGGAAGTGCGGGGAGAAGAAGGAGAAAATCGTGAGGGGGGGGAAAGGAGCACGCGGGGGGAAGCAGAGCGCGCAGCGGGGGAAAGCAGCGTGCGGGGGGGAAAAGCAGCACGTGGGGGGGAACCAGAGCGCACAGGGGAAAAGGTGACGTTGATGATGATGATGACGATGAAGACGACGATGATGATGACGATGATGATGATGATGATGATGAGGGGGGAGGGGGGGGGGGGGGGGGATTCAATTTCAAGGTAAAAAACGATTTGATTTCGGTTTCGAATCGAAATCGATATGATTTCGGAACCGAAATCGAATTGGTTTTGGTTTCCAATGGAAATCGATTCGATTTTGGAATCGAAATCGTCTGGATTTCGATTTCGAAATCGGTGTTCTATTTTAGAGTCCGGGGGGGAAGACGATGAGAACCACGATGGGGGGGAAGACCAGGAAAAACGAAAAGAAAGAAGTAGAAGAAACGAGGGAAGAAGAGAGAAAAAAAGAAGAAGAATAAAAAAGGAAGGAAGAGACGGCGAAGAAGAGAAAAAAAAAGAAAAGAAACGTTGTCGAAGAAGGCGAAGAAGAGAATGTCGAGGAAAGAAAGAAAAGAAAGAAAGAAAGAAAAAAATTATAACGTACCTGTGCCTTGTCGTTGGCGATTCAGTATCGTTGATGATGTGGCAGCGACGACGATGGCGTGGCGACGATGATGATGATGTGGCAATGTCGACATTGAAGATGATGACGACGGGGCTGGCGTGGCAATGTCGATGACGAAGACGATGATGGCGATGATGGCATGGCATCGTTGAAGCTGCTCCACGTCGATCAGGGCGGGCAGGAGGGCGATCGATGCCGCTCCCATACCAGTGTGACGAGGCAGAAGGCAGAGCAGCGAGGCTGGGAGAGAGAGGAAGAGTGAGAGCACACACACGTGCTTACTCAACTCGACGCAGACTCGACACGACTCGACACGACTCGACAGACACAGACACCAAGTGGCAAAGTCGCAGAGTCGCAGTCTTGAATTTCCAAACATAATGTCAAAGCGAAGTCACACTGAACTCAAGCACTGAGGCTGAAAATTTTGTGCCCGTACTGTGCTTGAGTCCGTACTTAAGTACCGGACTCAAGTACGGTTCTGAGGGCGAAAGTGAAAATGCCTCAGGGCCAGAACTGAAAATTGAAAGTCTGAAAGTGGGCGCCAGAGTGCCGGATGGCGCCAAGTGTCTGAAATCCGAAAGTCCAAACAGGAGGAAGTTGAAAACGGGCGCCAGAAATTCCCCAGAATGCGGATGGCGCCAACTGTCTGAAATCGGAAGAGCAAAAACGAAGTAAAATAAATCAAGAAAATTGTAAAACAAAAAAAAGAAGGAAGTTGAAAACGGGCGCCAGAAATTCCCCAGAATGCGGATGGCGCCAACTGTCTGAAATCGGAAGAGCAAAAACGAAGTAAAATAAATCAAGAAAATTGTAAAACAAAAAAAAGAATAAATACAGCAAGAGGGCAGGTGGTAACCCGCAGACCAGGGATCAGGCCCTGGAGGAGTCCGTAACAACCGGACTGATGCCACGGGAAGCAATCAATGTTGTCCACTCGGGCCTCTCAACCATGATGGGGAGGAGCATGGGTGAGTAGCTGTTGTAATTCCTTTGACTTGCCGGTGGAATACGAACTGGACTGATGCTCCCCAGAATGGAAAGGAACCAGAGCCGTAAGGTTCTGTTTTTATTAGAAACAAACCAAAAAAAAGGAACCGGACTGATACTCCCCTGAATGGATATGGAGCCAGGGCCATAAGGACCTGGTTAAAAAATAAAAATAAAATAATTTGAATGTCTTTCCTTGGATGCACCTCTCTCTGCAGTAATTGATGATGACTGACAAGTTATTTGTATGTGGATCATGTCATGACAGACGGATTTGATAAAGAAGCTCAGTGATATGGAAAGTCTGCTTAGCCATGAGAAGACAGCAGCTTCAGAGGCAGTGCAAGAGCTGGAGGTATTCCTTGTGAACTCAATTCAACTCATAACGATATGACCGACTACGGATGTTCACCTCTGCCGATCCTTTCCTGAACGACCGCTCTCCCCAGAACGCATATGTCCACATTTGTTTTTTTTTCTCTTTCATCGAGTTCCATTTTTTCTTGTACACTTTTTTATTCCTGCTTTTTGTCCTCGCTTTCCTCACTTCCTTTTTCACTTTTCAGTCTAGTCAGCTACTTTTGTATAGCTCTGCCCTCGTCTCCCCTCTGCTCCTCTCCACCCCCTCCCCCCTTCCCCCCCCCCCCCCCGCCTTCCCGAGGAACAATTAACATAGTCGATGATAGCCCTAACTTTGGAGGGTTTTCTGTGGTTGCCCCGGACACGGACATCCGGACAACCGCACGCAGTCACCGGACCCGTGTTTGGATTAAACCGGACGTCCGGTTAACCGGACATCTAACCAGACATCCGGACAACCGGATCCGGACAGTCCGGTTGGGTGTATCAGTGTCCGTTTTTCCGGTAAAAAAAAAAAAAAAAAAAAAAAAAAAAAAAAAAACACCGGCTCACATGACACGAGCACAGAGATACACAGGTTTGCGGGACTGGTCCAACATGCTAGTAAAATTGGAACTATTAACGTACGAACTTCAAAGTTCGGAACTTCGAATCTTGAACCGGCACACGTGACACAAACACACACACACACAGAGCAAAGTTCCACAGCCGCTCCAGCCCCCAAGCATCAGTTCCACACCCACTCCAGCCCCCAAGCATCAGTTCCACACCCGCTCCAGCCCCTTAGCATCAGTTCCACACCCTCTCCAGCCCCCAAGAACTTTGAAGTTCCGAACTCCGAAGTTCGGAACTCACCAGAGGGAGCGCTGCTGCACGAGGCGCTTCGATCGAAAATGGGGTCCTCCTGCCGGCGGGAAACCAACACCGGGATACTGCGGCTGCTACTGCCCTCCAAAGTTCTCCAACAGCAGGCCCTTCAGGGCTGGTCCGGTTGGGGTGACGGTCGACAAAAAACTACAGCAACAATTTCTGGGGTACCCCAGGCCCAGGAAAATGGCCTGGGGACCCCAATTTGTTTTTTGAATTTCTTGAAATGAGATCCAACCGGACCCTCCAAACTGGACACCAGCCCTGGACACCGGACACCGGACACCGGACTGTCTGGACCAGGATCCGGACGTCCGGTTGGCAACCAACTTTTCTCATGGTCTTTGTAACAAAACCCCAGAGCCTTCAAAACCAAACTTCTCAGCAATCCATAGAGTGGATAGCAAATAAACCAACACCAAGAAAATAAAATAAGATAAAGAAAAAGGAGCCGAAACCCCTAAGGCAATAATGCTTATTCAATGTTCATGCAAAATTCACCTCTGACTCTTTTGTAGGATTTCCAGGATTATCATGGCTTGCCAAGATACAGCCATCCCCAAGGCTCCAACAAACACCAAACTTGTCACACACAAATCTTGACCAAATCTAAAACACCCAAAGAAAAGAAAAATCCAAAAAACGATCCCCAAATGCCCTTGTCACTGTTCTCAGTGCTTAGAGGGTTAACCTGTGCGAGCAGGAATCCAGTGAATGTTGAGGGTTGTTGAAGCACAAGTTTTTTTTTACTTTTAACGCAGCTGACGTAGCATTGTGATGGGACCTCCTAGCCGACGTAGCACCACTGTTGCGACATACTACCACGCAGTCCGATCAGTAACTTCTGTTTCGCGTAGTACCCTGCGGTCTACCACCCTTGTGAGCAGGTCGTCACCTAGTATTGGCCAGAAGTGTGCCCAGAATTCTTTAGTCATGCCGTCGATACCTGGTCGTTTGTCGTTTCCCATCATTAGCACGGCCTGATGAAGTTCGTGTGTTGTGAGAGGTTCGTCTGATGTGCCCAGGTGATGGTTTTGTCCAGGTTCAGCGTTTTATCTCTTGCTGTTAGGACTCCTTGCGGGGCCAGGTTGGCTGTCTTGGATTCGTACAGTTGTGTGTAAGAATCCCGAGGGAAACGTACCATTTCCTTGCCCTGGCTAGATGTGTCAGAGGGGTTTGGGGGATCCCGGAGGGTCTTGATAGTGTTGTTTCTAGTGTCTGATGTGATTTTTGCAAAAAAGGATTTAGACAACGTCTCGCTTAAAGCAAAATTAGTCATCCTGGCTCAGATTTGAAGGCATCTCGGTTCCCATCATCGCCAGTTTAAGAGCTCCTGTTTAGTTTGACTGAAAAGCTCTTGGTAGAAAGTGCTGGCTGTTTTTTTCTCTTAAATTAAATTCTGCTAAGTGAAATGTTGTTTCAAGTTCCTTTTTCCTTTTGGTTCTCTCCCCTTGTATACCCTCAACACACTGTTCGCTGCATGTGTGAGTTCCTTGCAACTGTCTAGGAACCACAGTTGTTTGTCGTTGCACCGCAAGGTCTTCTGTTTTTGAGAAGAACATGTCCATTCTACTGCTTCGTTTAGTTGCTCAAGGGGGAGGAGTGAGTTGTTGAAACGATAAAAACCGGATCCTTTTTTCTATAGGGACTCCGAGATTGAGGAGAAGGGAGATTGGACTATGATCGAGCCCGGGGTACGCCGCTTGGGGAAGAATCCCAGATTCTTTTATAGCCCCTTCAAGGATTCGAACACCAGGAAAATGTGAATTCTTGAGAAGGCCATGTGGCCTGCGAAGTTCCTCTTCGTGAGAGAGAAGGCCTTCCTTCTCCAGGTGCAGGGACCTGAAGGGTTCAAAGAGGTTGAATTCTGTCATGAGGTTTAGACGTTTAGCGGTTGGTCTGGTGGGTCCCAGTCGGTCGGAGCTGGAGATTCTGTCTAGTGCCAGGTCTAGGGTAGTGTTCCTCCTGCTGCCACCTAATGTCCATCCAACACCACCTTCCTTCTTGTAAATCCTGACCTGAGTCGAGGAAGGACCCCTCCTGGTCTATTTTAGATTTTCTGAGGATAAGTATGGCCGTCCCCATCCGGTTTTCGTTTCTTGCTTCTGCCCACAAGGCGTAATCCAGTTGTTGCATACTCGTGAAACACAGTCATAAGTATGGTGCAGATTCGCAGAACCGACCAGATAATACAGAGTTAATACAAATACAGCGGAAGATTTGATACCCATGGACTGACTCTGACCTGACTCAGACTGCAATCGAACACTCTCAATCATACATCAGGGGCGTGAAAGCCCTGGCCTTGGACATAGACGAAAGGCCAGGGTCTGAGATCATCCACGGACGAATGGAGGGAGGAGAGATGACGTCAACTCAATGTTTTCAAAGATAGTATCTTGAAATGTCAGAGGTAGCGAAAATCCGAAATGTCGCGAACACAGTGTCTCACAATGTCTCAGATATCGATCTCACAATGTCAATCACATCTCCAGAGGAAGATGAAATCAGATCCCACGAGTAGTCCTCAACCTATGGTCCCAAGAGACTTCAACATTGTCAATTCTTGTGCTGGTGTGATCATTGATTTATCATTTTTCTTCTAATTGCCAGGTTGCCATATGCAGTCAGGTCGCGAGAGCTCATTGCGCTTGTAATCTGGGTTTCTCCGGTGCAGTCTCCTTCCATTACAATCAATGCCTTCCTTTTTTCTGTTAAATAGTTATTTTTCTTTCCCCTCCCCTCTCCGTCCTCCCCCCCCCGCTTCCAGGGCCCTACACACACATACACCTTTTTTTGCTGTAAATTGACCAAATGATGCTGGAAAAAACTTGGAATAAAGTTTTTGAAATCTTCAGACATCTGTTAAAATTGGAACGATACAGAGAAGATTAGCATGGCCCCTGCGTAAGGATGACATGCGTAAATCGAGAAATGGTCCAATTTTTTCTTGAAAGAACTTCAAAAAAGAAAAAAACAGTTGTAGGACTTGGCAACTGATTCAGTGATTTATGGATTGATTTGGTTATTTTTACAGGCATGGAAGCAACGGCACGCCCAGGAGCTTGGCACACTGCGGACTGAACTCGTGAACACTCGGAAGGACCTGACTGCTGCAAAGGTCCAACCAGCGGCATTGGCCAAAGAGAAGGAGGCACTCAGGAAAGAGCTCGAGAAGGCAAAAGAGAAAATGGAGAAGTTAGATGCAAAGCTCAAGAATACCCTCCAGGAGAAGAACAACCTGGTGGTATGGACCCAAACGCCATTCAGGGGGAGTTGGTGGGCATTGTTCAACAGCTGCTTTGGGGACTTGTGAACTGCACTGGAAAATGTATGTGGCAGTGTCTGTTACTCTAAATCAACCATACGTTGTGTATGGGGTTCAAATTAAGATATTAGTATTTTAATATTTTTTTTAAATCACTTGTAATTTGTAAAGGGGAAAGGGGGGAGGGTGTGGGGGCCTTTAGTACTACGGCCTTGCATGGTCTTGCTTTAGTGAGTGTAGTCGTGGATGTGTGGCAACTGTCTGAGAGAGCATGACTGCCAGCATGCCAGCAGGTAGTCCTCGGTGCGGTGATTTCTTAGAATGTGCATTGCCTGCGCCTCTTGCATGCCATGCCCTCTTGACCTCGCGCTCATGTTGAAGCTGACTGGTTTCTTATGTGCAATCTCAGAATGCCCTCCTACTGCACTGGCAGCCAAATTCAGTGCGAGTCGTCATGCTGTGAGGATGCCCTCATCCTCACGTTGAAAGTTGAAACTGATGGAACCACAACTTTACACGGGCTTTGACACCCGTGATATGACTACGTCAGCTGTGGCGAGAAAAGTTGTTTGCCATGGTGGCTAAGACGGGGGGTAAGCACGTTTGTTACGAATCAATGACCTTCACGCAATTCCTTTGGTTGTGTATTTTATTTGAGTTTTTATGTGTTATTATGTAAATGATGGATTACCGAAAATAAGTCGAATTCTCAAATTACAAAACAATTCAAAACTCTCGTACTAATTATGATTCCGACTATCGGGGGTAATGGGGATAAATACAAATATCGGATTATGGGTCCGATTTAGTGAAATATTTAACATTTTCAATGATTCTTTTTCTTTTAGGTATTTCTGCTGTGGTGCCTGGTGTCTTGACTTCTCTCTAAATAACATCTTGGATGGATGGTCGGAATGGACTGCATTTCCTTCTGAAGTTTGTCTTCTTGCCGGCATTGGTAGCTAGCACTGGAAGTCAGTGGAGAGTTTAGGATGTGCATTTCCTTCCGGCATTCATTTTGTCAGCTCTTTTGAGGTCCTTTATCTCTGGTCGGCGGATGTGATTTTCTTATTTTAACGATCTCCAAGTTATAGTTGGAATTAATTGTTGTTTTCTTGTAGTTGCAAACGAAATCAGTTGGAATGGACTGGAATTTTTTGTTTTGACTGCCTTGCAGACAGAAAGAATCCATATGGAGCGAGACTTGAAGCTTCTTCGGGGTCAAAGTTTTGCCCAGGCAAAGGATTTGTCAAAGCTTGAGAGTGCGTACGACAAAAGAAGAGAATCAGTAGCCGAGAAGAGGAGAGAATCTATTGCTGTGCAGAAGAGATCCAGGTCCCAATATGAGGAGCTGGAAGCGATGCTCCAGAGCAAATGCACCGAACTCGAGGAACAGAAGAGTGATCTTCAGTCTGCACAGGTGTGGACACTGGACTGTGATTTTCTAGTGCCCGTTTTTTCTGTAACTGCTCATCACATCTGCTCTCGCTCGTTGCAGACTGATGTAGGCATTCTGTTATTAAGCACATGCTGCGCATCTTGATTTTCAGGTCACTGATCAAGCAGTTGAAGGAGAGAAGCGGTGACCTTCTTTGAAAGGCTCAACTTCTTCGACTTCACACCTGCACTATCTTGCAAGACACACAAAATCTGTCAGGCAGCCTGAGCATGTTTGACATGGCCCATATTCCCCTTTCTTCCTATGTCTTAAAACATAACTAAGGAATTAGGACTTAGAGGCTAGTAGGAGATTGCTTGGGAGAAGGTCTGGGCGGTCACGAAAGGGATGATCCAGGCGGAAATTTTATGCCAATGGGCCTAGCTACTGGCCTCTACAACACCCTGGACGGAGAAAAAAAAAGGAAAAAAAAAAAGGAATGCTGTACTGCAGTAATCCAAATCCAGTGATGAGCAGTAGGCACGTGTCAGTGTCGATAAACAGGTCATGAGTTTGAATCCTGACAGGGAATCAGATGGATGTAGTAATTTTGGGTGCTCACCCCTTTCTGAAAAAAAGGCAGTCTGTGCTCCAGCCTTCATGTTAAGATTTCTGGTGTCCTCACACAGGTAGGAAGGTCTCACAGAGGTCTGTAAGTCAAAGGTTAATGGTGGTATATTTCTTCAGCACTTGGTTTGGAGAACTTTGGACTTAATGGTTGCATTTTCTTTAGAAGTTGGTTCGTTGTATGGAGAGCTTTGACACCTTTTGCTCTTTTGGAATGGCAGGGGAGGCTGCAACAACTGGATTCAGAGAATGAATGGCTGAAGAAACAGCTGGAGGAGAGTAAGGCAGAGATTGACAGGATGAAAGAAGAAGCAGCTCACCGGACAGAGGAGCTGTCAAGGAAATCAAAGCAAATGGAGGAACTTGATGATCAAATCAAATCCATGAGTGTAAGGCAACAACTCTCACTTCTAATCTCGAACGCTGTTGCTTCAGCTTGCACATTCCATTCCCATTTACTCAGCCCCAGGTGCATATGATGCCATGAAATGGCATGAATATATAAGCGGGCGCACTCCTTTCAATATCACTACAGATATAAAATCACTAGCTTGTGTGTGGGTACAGCTGAAGCAAGAGCCGTTGGTGCTGCTGTACTGGACGGTTGCGATGTGTGCTCATGGTCTGCAAGAGCCGTGAAGATGCGATGAGAGTTGGTGTGTGCCTTTGTCGGGGCAACCCACAAAGACCTTTGTTGGGGCGCATCCCACAAAGGCCTTTCTCGGGACAGCTCACAATGACTTACTTGAGAAACGCATAATGGCCAGAAAATAAACATGGCCCCTCGTCGTTGTGCAGCAAATGAAAGAAAGTGTCTGTGGCATGCAAAAGAGAGAGAGAGAGAGAGAGAGAGAGAGAGAGAGAGAGAGAGAGAGAGAGAGAGAGAGAGAGAGAGAGAGAGAGAGAGAGAGAGAG